TCCTTTACCGTGTTAAAAGCAGAGAAAAAGGCATTGGAAAAACAGGCAGTTGCCAAGAGATCATTAGCAGATCCCGTGCTGACAAAAAGGTATGCCACACAGTCGTCAGGGGAAAAGGAGACTGCCCTTGCCATGAGTGTTTGTTCAAGAACCTCATCTTTGTTTCTCTTCCAGTAGGAAGTTAAGTCCCAAGACTGAGATTAATACGGACAGCGGAGCAGAAACTGGCTTACTACTTAAATCATGCAAAAGGGCAAGGGCGGAAGTTAGTCATAACACACCTGCCTTTTACAGATGAAGAATTAGAGCACAGTGAATCCATGACTTGGCTAAGTCTGCCCCAAAGCCAAAACCAGAGGGCAGTTCTCTCAAACCCCCACCGGATGCCTTCCACGCAAGGCTACCCTTCATCTGGGATGCATCCGGACAGCTACAAGACCGGGCAACTTGGGAAGAGGCTGATGAAACAACTCAAGATGATCCAAGATGTAACATAAAATCAGGACCATCTGGTTTTAAAGAGATCCATGAGTATTATTGAAACTACTGTAACTCTTATCAAACCTCTACATGCTGCATGTCCTTATTGCTACGTGGTAATAAAGCAAAGGAGACAGACCCGAAGGTTGAGAAGTTGGTTTGTTTTTATTTTCTTTCTGTGTACGAGTAAAACAAGCTTTTGTTGCATGAGGTTTCTGGAGCATGTGACTTTTCATGGGTCTAACCCCAAGCAAATGGGAGAAGAAAGTATATCGTACCTTGGCTATCAAATGACCAACAGGACCTGGAGAATATGCCCGGTTACAAGAAGTCTGGAGGCTCTTCCCTGGGCATAAGGTTGCCAGAAAGAGTGACCCAAAGGACTCAGTGTTCACAGCATGCATGAGAAGAAAGGCTATAACCAAATCTGAAGACGTGTAAGAGAAGAGCTGTTTGCTTATTGTCTTCTGGGTTGTTTCCCCAAGTCAACTGCCATGGAGCTATAACTTGCCGAGCAAAAGTTATTGGGAACTTCCAAATTAACAATGGAGAGAGAGGAAGAGAGCAAGATATCTGCTAGATACAGCTGTTTAAATTGGTCTCCTACCCACATCTGCCTCGTCATCCTGAATCTGCTCTACCTCACACACGTCGAAGGGCGTAAGACAACGCGATGAACGTCCTGCACTTCAACTGTTCCCTGCCTGCGCGTGGAATGGAGCTGCCCCCCTTTCTCCACAGTAAGCAGATTTTAAATCATAAAAAGGAAGCTTACAAAAAGAGGAAACCTGGACAAACAACTACAGAGGAGTATAAGAGTATTGCTCGGGCATACAGGGATGAAATCAGAAAGGACAAAGTGCAACTGGAGTTGCAGCAAGCAAGGGACGTGAAGGGTAACAAGAAGGGTTCCTACAAGCACGTCAGCAACAAGAGGAAGGTCAGGGAAAGTGTGGGCCCTTTACTGAATACGGGAGGCAACCTAGTGACAGATGAGGCCGAAAAGGCTGAAGTGCTCAATGCCTTCTTCACCTCGGTCCTCACAGGCAAGGTCCGTGCCCAGACTACTGCACCAGGCAGCACAAGTTCAGGGAGGAGGTGAGCAGCCAACAGTGGCAAAAGAGCAGGTTAGGGACTGTTTAGAGAAGCTGGACATGTACAAGTCCAGGAGGCAGGCGCAATGCACCCAAGGGTGCTCAGGGAGTTGGCCAATGTGACTGCAGAGCCGCTGGTCATCATCTTTGAAAACCCATGACTACTGGGACAGATCCCACGCGACAGGAAAAGGGCAAACATAGTGCCCGTCTTTAAGAAAGGGAAGAATAAGGAACCAGGGAACTACAGACTCACTGAGCCTCACCTCAGTCCTTGGAAAAATCATGGAGTAGGTCCTCAAGGAATCCATTTCTAATTACTGGGAGGAGACGAAGGTGATTAGGAACAGTCATCATGGATTCACCAAGGGCAAGTCATGCCTGACCAACCTGCTTGCCTTCAATGAGATGACTGGCTCTGTGGATGCCCACTGTAACGCCCAGGTCCTTTTTAGGCGAGAGTAGCAGACGTGTTATAGGCCGACTTCAGCAAGGCTTTTGAGATGCATTCTCACGGACAAGCTAAAGAAGAACGGGTTGGATGAATGGACTGAAAAGTGGACAAAAAACTGGCTTCGGTCATTGGGCTCCAATCAACGGCTCGATGTTTAGCTGGCAGCCAGTATCAAGTGGAGTGCCCCAGGGCTCAGTCCTGGGGCCGGTTCTGTTCAATATTTTCATCAACGACCTGGAAGATGGGATGGATGCACCCTCAGCAAGTTTGCAGATGACACCAAACGCGGCGGGGAGGGAACTAGTGGACACGCTGGAGGGCAGGGCTACTATTCTGAGAGACCTCGACAAACTGGAGGATTGGACCCAAATAAAAATTTATATAAATCTCATGAGGTTCAATAAGGACAAGTACAAAGTCCTGCCCTTAGGATGGAGCAATCCCATGCACCGGTGCAGGCTGGGGCTGCCTGGCTGGGCAGCAGCTCTGCAGAAAAGGACAGTGGACAATAAGATGACGAGGAGCCAGAAGTGTGGCCTTCTTGCCAAGAAGGCTAATGGCATCCTGGGCTGCGTTGGTAGAAGCATTGCCAGCAGATTGACAGAAGTAATTATTCCCCTCTATTCAGCACTGGTGAAGCCACATCTGGAGTCCTGTGTCCTACTTTGGGCTTCTCACTACAGAAAGGACATGGACAAATTGAAGAGAGCCCAACAGAGGTCAACCAAAATGGTTCGGGGCACAGGACTTATGAGGAGAGGCTAAGGGAACTGGGCTTCAGTCTAGAGAAGAGAAGACCGAAGGGGGATTTAACAGCAGCCTTCAGCTCCCTGCAGGGGGGTTGCAAAGAGGATGGAGCTGGGCTGTTCTCAGTGGGGGCAGATGACAGGACAAGGAGCAATGGGCTCAAGTTGTAGCAAGGGAGGTTTAAGTTAGATATTAGGAAAATCTCTCTCACTAGGAGGGTAGTAAAACACTAAAACAAGTTACCCAGAGAGGTGGAGGAATCTCCATCCTTGGAGGTTTTTAAGAACCGGCTAGACAAGGCCTTGGTTGGGATAATATAGTTGGGGCTGGTCCTGCTTTGAGCAAGGGGTTGGACTAGATGACCCCCTGAAGTCCCTTCTAACCCTAATTTTCTACGATTCTATTATTTTAAAGCTTTGATTTATGACACACTTGCCTTTCTACCACAGCAAGTGAGTTCTATACATATTTACCAGAAGACAGTCACTATTTTCATTATAACAGGACACTGCTGGTATTCAAACCAACAGGAACCATAAACCTGATCCAGGGGGACACTCAGGTGGGCCCAGAAGAGTGCCTTGATGGCTGTTTCATGAGCCAGTGTTTGCAAATCAGCAATTTTCTGGTGTTAAGAAAAGGCTTATTCCACAGCTTTCTCCTTCCCCACGACAGTCTCACTAAGACTGACCGGTGGCCTTTCAATGGCAGGGCCTCAACGAGAGTAGCCTTGCCCAATCTTGCCACTCTTCGCCCTCTGCATTGCTCTATGCAAAAGACCTCTTAATGCACCCAGGGAGACTCCAGGGCTGCAAGGAGTGGAGCTGCAGACCAACAATGGGGGAATGCCCCAGAATTGTATGGGTGCTCACAATGGCCCCGCTGGGTCAGCTACGCTTTTAGTGACCAGAGAAGCTCTAATACGGAGACAAGCAGATTCATGCCCTCTCACTCTATGGGGTCAGACACAGCCTAGCGCCAATGCATGCAGCCCCTACGCTGCCCATCACGAAGATCCCAACGTATGGAGGAACGACTGGATACGCAGCCATAAAACTTATCCCCCTCCAGAAGTCCGAGGTGGAAGCAGTGGCACCAAAGCCTGCACTGAGCAGAGCTGCTTTGCAAAGGCAGTGTCAGCTCACGTTTGGCTCAAGTTTCTTAAGTGCCCAATAAAAGCATTGCAGGGATGCTTGCTTTGGGATTTTAACGTTTCTAAAAAAAATTAAAGTGCCTGAGTCTGGATTGGAAATCCAAACACCGCAGCATTGTGCTGGAGCCCGGCTAATCTATTCCCACTGTCAGCCAGGCGAGAGGGTAAACAAATCAGGCTTTTTAAGATCCCTTCCCTTGCGATAATCTAAAGACATTTCCTTTCTAAAAATAACCCCGGCACCCTGCCCAAACACCAAAGCCGTGTGCCAACTAGTGCACGCTCCCTCCTCGGGGACCAGACCCCACAGCTATTTGGCGAAGCGAGTGAGTGTGGAATAGGAGAAGTCCCCAAACTAGATAGTAGCAAGATGAAAGCCGACATTGACCTTTAGTAATTATCATGCCTCAAGAAGCTTTCCTTTCTGCTCTCCTAGAACAAGGCTAGATCTATCTACAAGGCTAGATAAGAGCAAGACCTAGAGGAGTCCCCCATGAAAAGTCTCCCAGTGCATGAATGAACCCCTTCATCCTACTAACAAAACCAGGCGTGCAAAGCAGGAGGGTAAAAAATAGTGCATTTCTCCATTGCATTAGCCAGCGCAGTCAAAAAGCCTGCAGACTTATGTTTTAGCCTGCATCGTTCAAAGACGTGCTGGCTGGTTGCACTGTAACTTAATTAAAAGTTGGAGAGACAAATACCACTCAAGTGGTATTTAAGATAACCTACCTTATCTAGAGCACACCTCAGTTAGACTATACTAGACCCTTAACACCTAGTCTGGGCAAGCCCGAATGGGAAAGATACCCACTGACTTCAGCAGAGGTTGGATCATGCTTCTAAATACCATGTCTGACTATTTCCTTCCCCTTTGTCTATCCGTACAGGTAACGCCTAAAATCACCAGAGCCCAGACAGATGAGACCTTCCATTTGCTTGCACTGTGCATTCAACACCGAATGAAGCAGACTTGGCACATGCGTCATTTGCTTCACATGCTGTTTTCCCAATTGTAAAACAACCACAGCCAGTAGGGACCTTTGGGGCCAGGCATAATTCCTCGAAATCAGACCTCATTCTGGAAGGGACCAGCCATCGGCTTCTAAGAGACTCAAAGCATACTGGTGACAGGGTCCATCCAAGAAGAGAGAAATCTCCTGAGTTTTGATTCTTGTCATTTGAGGGTATCTGCTTTTCCTCACACCTCTCCAGCCATTCTGGGCTGAGGCTTTTATAGTTCACAACAGCCGTATTTTGGCAGCCCATCTTGTTTTCACACACCCCATGCAACTGCCCCTCCAGGGAACATCACATGGGTCAGCTCAAACCGATCTCCGTCTCACAAACGTGCTGCTGTCTTGCTTTTGCTCTGAATGATCGAGCTAGCAAAGCAAGGCCCAACCCTCAGCTCAGCGGCATTCCTCTGTCCACAGCACAATA